GACACAGCAAGTGTTGAGGTAAATGTTAACTGTCTTTTTTGCAGGACTACAGGAAACACAATGTTCAAAGAAGATAAATTTAAGCTAAACTTCTTTGGAAAGATTTTAGGTGGAAGATGAACTAAGTGAAATATTCAGTTGAACCATTTTATTTAGCAAAAAAAAAAAAAAAAAAAAAAAAAAGTCCTTGGAACAATCCTTTAATGTCTATTGATAGTGTTGGTTACTGTTGTCCTCTGTGGCCTGGTCTCACACTAGATCTTCTACATTAGGGAGAAAATACTACAGGAATAAGCACTATTAAGAAAAATGCTACAGTAAAAATGTGTGTACTGTAGACTATTTGCAAATAGCTGTTTGTATGATTTACCTGCAATTTTATTAGTTCATGAGACAGACAAGAAGACAGCAGTCCTGCTGGAGTACAGAACAGGATTCCATTTCAGATTCATATGACAGAATAGCAGTGTACCTTCCTCAGTGGTTGCTCTCTATCACCCTACTACTATGCTGGAGTAGCATGTGTTACTATAACTTTTGCAAGTAAAATTTTAGGATAAGTAATGAATTTCAAGAGATGCTAGGCCAATGTTGATGAACTCTTAAGACATGTTTGGAATATTGCTATAACTAACACTCTTTTAATGCAGGTAAACTTTTTATTTCCTTATAAATTTGGTAAAACACATGAATTATTGGGAATACACAAATTCACTTAATTTCCATTCTGGAACAGTGGTAAAGGAAGACAGAGTATTTTAATTCAAACCTGGAAATTACTGGAGGGGCTGGTTCCAAATCTGCTTACAGAAATTAATCCTTAAGAGAATTGTACAAAATACTCCCTAGAAAAAGCAGGGATGCAATAAGTATATAAGAGACCTTAATTAGCATACTCAGTTTAAGGTTGTTCAACATCTTCCCTTTAGAGATAAATGGAATTATTAATACATCCCTAACTGTCTTCAAGGGAAAACTAGATTCTCCAGGCAGTTCCTGATCAGATGAGCTCTGATGCCTACGTTGGATTGAGTGCAACTAGCACCAACAACTTTACTGACCAGACTGTAAATTAGGAGGCATGGTCTGAGGCTGAGCCTTGGAGTTGATCTGGAGAGCTATCAACAGGTGAACTGGTACTTAATAAAGTTTCAGTTTTATTTCAATCACTTGTTAACCATAAGTGGTATTCAAACCTAAGGTACAGCAATGTTCCACATCTCAGGACATGTTACATCTGCCAGTCAAGTCATACACCAGCCTGAAAAAAAAAAAAAAAGCTAGAAACCAAGTGTTCATGCATTTTGGTTCAGCTACTCAGAACTTTCATTGAAGAATTTCCTGTGACTTAAACACCACTTCTGAGACTTCCTGCATGGGCCAGATATTGTTTAGTTGAGTTCCAGTTGATTTAATGGAGGATCCTTGATTTTGGTGAAGGGCCCCTTGATCCTTGGAAGTGGACCTACCCTCCCATTTCCTTCCTTGGATCTAACTTCACCACCTCACATTCCCCCATGAATGGGGATAATGGGCTATAGAATTTTTCCCCTCCCAGAAAGCCATGTATGTTGCAAAGGCAACTAATATGCTGGGAGCATGGGGCTAGTAACCCCCTTTTTCTGTATTTTATTATTTTATTATTAACACATTGGCAATTCCCACCAAGGCAGGGTGGCCCGAAAAAGAAAAACTTTCATTATCATTCACTCCATCATTGTCTTGTCAGAGGGGTGCTTTACAATACAGTTATAAAATTGCAACATTGACACCCCTCCTTCAGAGTGTAGACACTGTACTTCCCATCTCCAGGACTCAAGTTCGGCCTGCCAGTTTCCCTGAATCCCTTCATGAATGTTACTTTGCTCACACTCCAACAGCACATCAAGTATTAAAACCATTTGTCTCCATTCACTCCTATCAAATACGCTTACGCATGCTTGCTGGAAGTCCAAGCCCCTCGCACACAAAACCTCCATTACCCCCTCCCTCCAAAACTTCCTAGGCCGACCCCTACCCCGCCTTCCCTCCACTACAGATTTATACGCTCTCGAAGTCGTTCTGTTTTGTTCCATTCTCTCTACATGTCCGAACCACCTCAGCAACCCCTCCTCAGCCCTCTGGTAATCCCACACCTTCTCCTAATTTCCAAACTACGAATTCTCTGCATTATATTCACACCACACATTGCCCTCAGACATGACATCTCCCCTGCCTCCAGCCTTCTCCTCGTTGCGACATTCGTAACCCATGCTTCACACCCATACAAGAGTTTTGGTACAACTATACTCTCATACATTCCCCCTTTTTCTGTATTCAGTTACTAAAAATTTTGAAACTGAGATGTTTGAATTTACATGTGTGTAGTGTGTATAAGAAAGGCCTGATTGTTTAATGTTTTGAATGAAAAGAAGCTGGATGTTTTAGCACTAAGTGAATTATTATTATCAAATTAAACAGAGAGGTAAATGGGATTAAATCAGGTGTAGCTGAGAGAATCGGAGCCAAGGAAGATGTTGCGGTAATATTAAATGGTAAGTTACAGTGAGAATAATGGGCTTATAAGTGTTTAAACTTGGGAATTATGGGGGTTAGAATAAACATGGGATACAGGACAGTAGTTGCAGCAAGTATGAATGCAGCTGGGGATTGAGCATCTAGTATTCTGGTGCGAGCATGTTAGATAGGAGTGCATGGAGACAAGGCATTCATGGATGTGCTGTTAATGTGAGCAGGGCAACTTACAAAAGGATTCCTGGAAATTAATTAGCTAGGCTTGCCCTGGAGATGGGAAGGGCAGTGCCTGCACTCTGAAGGAGGGGTGGGGATGTTGCAGTCAGAGGGTAATATAATTATGATGTCGGCACACTTCTGGAAAGACTGTGATTGAGTCTTTGGTTCTCCCTGTTTTGGCTGGAGATGGCTGTTGAGTTAACCCTTTCAGGGTCGAGAGGCCCTCTCCTAAACTTGTTCTCAGGGTCGAAAATTTATCGAAAAAAAAAAAAAAAATTTTCTCATGAAAAGATGATCTTTTCTCGATCATAATGTCACCAAAAGTATGAAATTTGATGGAAAACTTACGGAATTATGCTCTCACGAAGTTAGGGGTCTCGACGATGTTTATGCATCGACTATTTCGCCCACTTTGAGCCCTATTTTCGGCCAATTCCAGTGCACTAGTCAACAAAAATCATAACTATTTTGTTAGAACTCAATTTTTTCTATCGATTGAGTACAAGAAACCACCCATTTACCGATTTCCACTACCCAATAAATGTTCAGAAATTAGCAATTTTGCCAATTTCACACAAATTTCAAAAGATGCCAATTTCCAAATAAGGTCCAGAATAAACAAGACAGACATTCCTGGCACTAAAATAACTTTTCCTCTGTTCATTAGTCATGTCCCCAGGCCCCTCTTCCATTTCTTTTGCTTTCCACTTTGAATTTTTATTCTCACAAAAAATGGAAGATTTACTGTTATGCAGACTACTGCATTAGTGTAGAAATGGTATAAATAATATCAGCGTACTTGTGAAAGAAAATACTCACCAGTTGAAGTGTATTGGACACGTGGCATGATTTATTTACTTTTGAACTTTGGCAAAAATCAAACATTTCTGCTACTTTGAGCTCAATTTCAAGGTACTTTTCATTGTGAAACCAATCAAAATCATCTCAATTTCTGTAATGTCTTCCATTCTATAAAATGAGACCAAAAAAACTAATACAACCATAAATACCATACGAAAATAAAGTGCAAAGTCGCTGTTTTAAGCCAAAAACACGGTCAAAGTTTTTTTTTCTCATTACGTGCTGTGTGCTGCAGGATTTTTTTTTATACCATGCACACTGACCACATAGACCCATTCTTTCATATGTAGGCCTACCAGCTTTCTCTCGCTAGATTTGGAGGCGCTAGAATTAGGCGTATTAGTATGTCAAAAACCCTGGTGCGTAAACCGTACTTGTATGTCGGAAACCCTGAAAGGGTTAAAAAGATAATTATGATAATCAAATGCACATTATAACACTAACTGAAAGTGAAGTTGAAACCTGCTGTCCAGGACTGCATTACCCCTACCATCTGGAAAAACATTATGAAACCCTTGTTCCAATTCTGTAGATCATATATGATAGTCAGTTTGGACTAGTATTTTGTTCCAGTTTCATAGATCATAAATGATACTAGATAATTTTTTTTGTTTAACTAAACCTCACATGTGAGAAAAGTTAATGAGGTCTCGATATTTTTGTAGGATAGACATTAGATAAGATAAGACTTGAGAAGTGTGAGTGGAATAATAACAGATACTTTCTTAATGGAATCAGTGATTAAGTAAAGTAATATAAGAAAGTATTCTACATTGTCTTGCTTGAATGTATGGGAAATTTTGTAAAATTTATTGAACTCTTTCACTTGTCTTACATATTAAGTCTTTGCTAAATATACATATTATCATCCTATCATTGTTAATATAATCTGCACAAAGCTCTTTTTCCTAACATGGCTTGCAGCATCCAAGGCATTAAAAGCAAATAATATATCTTGCAGGTGGCTCGGAGGTTCATAGCATCAGTAGTGAGAATCTTTGTCATTCTGGCCATTGAGATGATTCCTAATGTCAGCAAGAAGAAGCCTGGCAATTCTTACACACAGCCACTTGCAAAATGCATAAAGGTTTGTATTATTGATACAGTAGCAGATTACTGTTATGTGGCTGTATTAGCCCCTTAACTGTGGCATACCCTAAAAAAAATTGTGTTGGGGAGGGGGCAAGATTTTGAAAATAAAAAAAAAAATTCTTAATCTATATTTTTCTGAAGCAAATAAGATTAAAATTAGTGGAATCTGATAAAATCTTGTTATTTTATAGCGTGTTGAAATTCTGAAGTGTGAATGCCAAAGATGTGACTTTTTTTTTAGCTTGCTTGTTTCCATAGCCTTGGAGATATTGCAGAAAATGTTACTAATTAGGCGATAATCCTAAACTCTCTGGAAAATGTGGAATTGGCCCTAAATTCTCGGCCAACAAAGGGAAGAAAAGGGAATACTTGTAACAGAACATTGAATTTATTTTCTGACGCTGTCAAGAATTGTATGCATAATGTCTAGTTCTCCCATTTGTTGCTGCATTTATGCAGCAACAAATTGGAGAATAAAATGTCACATTAGTTGCATAATAAAATGTAACAATAGTTGCACTTGTGTCCTCTTACTTTGCATTTATGCAAGAGAAAGGAAGTAATGGTAGTAAAAGTTGCATTACACTTAAAAACTTTTACTATAAAAAATATTTCAGTAAGTTAGAACAAATAAAATTATTTCTGAAATGTGTATATATAATTTGAATATGCTAAACTTTAAAGATATTTTTTATTTGGAATTTTTGTACTGACCCATTTAGGCTTAAGAAAAAGATATAATACATAGTAAGTTTTCCTTACATTGTTTATTGATAACCAGTTAATTATTATTTTTTTCAACAAGTCAGGCATCTCCCTGTTTTGAAGCTCAGTTGTATAATCACATGTGAATATTATTTTATAATTTTTGAAGGAAAAAAAGTCTTCCTCTATGCGGAACATCTGATGTACTTTGAAAGCACATGTATAGGATAGTCATGTTCAAGTTTCCATAATTTCTTAATGTGTTGGTACAGGTCTTTGAGTCAGTGATTCCTGTTGCTGTGACTGAGTTATGTGATGCTGCTGACGCTCTCATGCTGCCAGTGCGCCTCAATTATGTCAAGCCTACAGCACCCTTTCCTCTTAGCTCGACTCACGTAGATGCTAATCATGGTTGTAAGGTATGGGATAGCTAGAACAGTCTGAAGCTTTTTCAGAATCAAAATTTTGTTGGAGATCTTGCATATGATTTGTTTAACATATTACAAGTGTTGTAGGTTAGTATTTGCATGCCGGAATAAATCTTCTCCTTGTTATTATGGCTCTTTTGTGTTGGTGTTGCTTTGCAACACCTCATTTTCTTTAGTTTATTAAACTTTTATTTTGCTAATACCTTTTCCACCTTAGTTGTACATCTAACAGCTGATGGGAACTCAGAGTTCACTAATAATTTGTTATGTCTCAAAGATGAGTTGCTGTTGCTTAGGTGTATTTTATAATAAAAGGATCACAAATATTGAATTTATGTAGGATTGAAAGTCCAACTGAATAAGATGAGATTCAGTGAAACATAAACCTATTGAGAAAATGCAAATTTTATGGCAGATACTAATAATGTGTGACGATAAACAAGGATAGAGAGTTTTAATCCAGTTTCTCATTTATCTTGAGATGAATAATTGATGAATGTTGTAATTGTTGAGTTTTTCTGCACTCTTCCACAATATCATTAAGTTAGGAATATAGATTAGCTGGTGAATAATTGGACAGACAAACAATATGTAGGTTGCTTAGGAATTCATGGAGATAAGTTGTTTTTATGTAGGTAGTAGGTTGGTAGACAGCAACCACCCAGGGAGGTACTACCGTCCTGCCAAGTGAGTGTAAAACGAAAGCCTGTAATTGCTTTACATGATGGTAAGATTGCTGGTGTCCTTTTTTCTGTCTCATAAACATGCAAGATTTCAGGTACATCTTGCTACTTCTACTTACACTGAGGTCACACTACACATACATGTACAAGCATATATATACACACCTCTCTGGGTTTTCTGCTATTTTCTTTCTAGTTATTGTTCTTGTTTATTTCCTCTTATCTCCATGGGGAAGTGGAACAGAATTCTTCCTCCGTAAGCCATGCATGTTGTAAGAGGCGACTAAAATGCCAGGGGCAAGGGGCTAGTAACCCCTTCTCTTGTATAAATTACTAAATTTAAAAAGAGAAACTTTCGTTTTTCTTTTTGGGCCACCCTGCCCAAAATTGTTTTGTTTTTAATAAAGGTACTGTTGGAGTGAGAGCAGGGTTGCTTTGTAAAGGGATTCAGGACACTGGTTAACTGGATTTGAGTCCAGGAGGTAGGAAGAGCAATGCCTGTACTCTGAGGATGGGGATGGGGATATTGCATTTGATTGAAATGCCAGCACACTTCTGAAAGACAGCAGTTGAGAGAAAGTGTTTTCTTTGGGTCACCCTGCTTTTGTGGTGGTGTCTGTTTAATTGAAAAACTTTTTTCTAGCATTTAGTGAAAAAAGTTCATATTTGATTTAAGTTAAGAGAAATTCTTGAGTATCTCAAAAATGTCTAATTATAATATATATTATTGGAATTGGTAGCTCCTAAATTGCTAAACTCATTAATACATCAACTTAAAAATGAAAGTTAAGTAGTTTTCAAAATTTGTGATAAATGCTGTAAATGTAAATGTAATAATAGTAGGATGCAACTGAAACTGGTGGTGTTATCTTGTCAGGAGATGTTTGAGGTGGAGCCCCTTCAGAGACATCAGCAGCGGGTTGGTGGAAGCATTGTAGAGCAGTCAGCTGCATCCGGCAGTGGTAGTGGTAATGGCAGTGGCAGTGGTGGTGGAGGAGATAGTGGAAGTGGGAATGCTGGAGCAGGGGAAGAGGTGGAAGAAGCTGGTGAAGAAGAGGTGGTGCCTAGTATGTCTCGTCCTAGTCCTGCTCCGATAGCCAGGCCACGGAGGGCACGACCAGACCACGTTCTTCCTCCTCAGGTTGATGAACATGATAATGAAGGCAATAGTGAACGTGACGATGCCAATGAAAGGTCTGAACAGGAAGGGGATGGAGGGGGTGAAGTGGAGGGTGGAGAGTCTGACATGGAACTAGACCTGTTAGCAGAATCAGACAGTGACAGTGATGACAATCAGTCTGCTGTAGACAACACTTCTGCACAAAGATCTGTACAGACTGGTGCTACTGCTGGCAGTGATGGGGAAGACGACTCAGGGGAGTCTTCACCTGGTGAGGATGAAGATGATGAAAGTGAAGCAGCAGAAACTGATGAATTTGATTCTGGAGAGCTTTTCTCTGATGAGCAGCTAGAGAGGAGGGGCAACACTTCATCTACTGCACGTAACATTGCTCCTCATAATCTACAGTGGGCAGTGAGGAACCCTCGTGACAGTAGCTCACGCTCAGGAGGTACCACAGGAGGTCCCACTGCCACTGGATCTTCAAGCACAACATCAAGTGGCCTAATATATATTGACCCAACTTCACTAAGGCACGGTCCAACATCCAGCTCCACGGTAACTCCATCATCCCATGAGCCAGTGAGCCTGGCCACTACAAATAACACACTAGCCAGGGCCTTTACCATTGTAGTAAGACAGATGAGTTCTTTGCTAAGTCTAGCATGTGATGTAGTAAGAGATGGAGGGCTGACCTCAAGAGCACCAGGTAGTGGTGGAGGAGGCATTCCCAGCAGCAGCACAAGCAGCAGCACTACCACACAGATGTGCCTCACTCCCACTATTATTGCGGCACTTCTAAAGCAGGTGGATGCCCGCCTTCAGCCCACTTGGGACTGGCTTCTCAGTCTCATGGACTCTACAGAATCGCAGCTCAGGTTAGTAATGTTTATACGTACATATTTACAGTGCTAGGTAGTAGGCTGGTAGACAGCAACCACCCAGGGAGGTACTACCATCCTGATGAGTGAGTGTGAAATGAAAACCTGTAGTAATTTTGTGTGATGGTAGGATTGCTGGTGTCTTTTTATGTTTCATAAACATGCAGAATAGCAGGTATATCTTGCTACTTCTACCTAACACTTTGATCACACTACACATGTATATACACGCATACATATATTTACAAATCCATCTGGGTTTTCCCTTTTCTTAACAGTTCTTGTTCTTTATTTCCTTTTATCTCCATGGGGAAGTGGAAAAGAATTCTTAATCAGTAAGCTGTGCATGTCATAAGAGGCGGCTAAAATGCTGGGAGCAAGGGGCTTGTAACCCTTTCTGTATAAATTACTAAATTTAAAAAGAAAAACTTTCATTTTTCATTTTAGGTCACTCTGCCTCAGTGGGATATGGCTGGTTCATTGAAAAAAACAATATACAGTGTGTGTGCTTGTGCATACATACACACACACATCACTGTTTCTGCAGAGAGGGACAGATATGACAGTTCAGATGTCACTCCAAACACAAATATCCCAAACCTCTCCTTTAACCCCATGACTCGCAACCCCAAATCCTGAGGTGTCTCCTGGTGTTGCAAATTTTCAAAAAAAAATAAAATAAAAATAATTTTTTCTTATGAAACGATAGAGAATCTTTTCCCAATTGTAACGACACCAAAAGAACGAAATTTGATGGAAAACTGATGGAGTTATGCTCTCGCGAAGTTAGCAACCTCGGCGATATTTACGAATCTGTGATTTCGCCCACTTTGAGCCCTATTTTCGGCTAATTCCATTGTTCCAGTCGACCAAACTCATACCTATTTCTTTAGAATTCCATTTTTCCTATCGATTGAGTACAAGAAACCGCCCATTTACTGATTTCAACTACCCAATAACGTGGTCAGAAATTTGTAATTAGCCCAATTTCATGAAAATTAAAAAATGTGACAATTTCAAAATAGGGTCCAGAATGAACATTGCAGACATTCCTGGCTCAAATATAACATTTTCTTTGTTCATCAGTCATGTCTCCAGGCCCTTCTGATATTACTCTTGCTTTCTATTTTGAATTTTTATTCAAACAAAAAATAGAAGATTTACTGTTATGCAGACTACTGCAATATTGTAATAATTGTATAAATAATGTCAACCCATTCATGACTGCATATTAGAATGGCTACTTGGACATTTATTGGAAAATGACATAATTTGTTTACTTTTGAACATCGGCAAAAATCAAACATTTCCCCTACTTTGAGTTCCATTTCAAGGTTCTTTTCATAGGAAAACCAATCAAAATCACCTCTATTTCTATAATATGTTTTCCATTCTATCAAATGAGATCAAGAAAACGAGAATACAACTAAAAATACTATACGAAAATAGACCACAAAGTCGGCATTTTAATTAAAAAAAACGGTCGGTATAGGGCAAGGAGGAATAACATCTTGTAGGAGTGAGGAAGAGCCAGTTGTGAGTGTGGAGGAAGTTCGTGAGGCAGTAGGTAAAATGAAAGGGGGTAAGGCAGCTGGGATTGATGGGATAAAGATAGAAATGTTAAAAGCAGGTGGGGATATAGTTTTGGAGTGGTCGGTGCAATTATTTAATAAATGTATGGAAGAGGGTAAGGTACATAGGGATTGGCAGAGAGCATGCATAGTTCCTTTGTATAAAGGCAAAGGGGACAAAAGAGAGTGCAAAAATTATAGGGGGATAAGTCTGTTGAGTATACCTGGTAAAGTGTATGGTAGAGTTATTATTGAAAGAATTAAGAGTAAGACGGAGAATAGGATAGCAGATGAACAAGGAGGCTTTAGGAAAGGTAGGGGGTGTGTGGACCAGGTGTTTACAGTGAAACATATAAGTGAACAGTATTTAGATAAGGCTAAAGAGGTCTTTGTGGCATTTATGGATTTGGAAAAGGCGTATGACAGGGTGGATAGGGGGGCAATGTGGCAGATGTTGCAGGTGTATGGTGTAGGAGGTAAATTACTGAAAGCAGTGAAGAGTTTTTACGAGGATAGTGAGGCTCAAGTTAGAGTATGTAGGAAAAAGGGGAATTATTTCCCAGTAAAAGTAGGCCTTAGACAAGGATGTGTGATGTCACCGTGGTTGTTTAATATATTTATAGATGGGGGTTGTAAGAGAAGTAAATGCGAGGGTCTTGGCAAGAGGCGTGGAGTTAAAAGATAAAGAATCACAAATAAGTGGGAGTTGTCACAGTTGCTCTTTGCTGATGACACTGTGCTCTTGGGAGATTCTGAAGAGAAGTTGCAGAGGTTGGTGGATGAATTTGGTAGGGTATGCAAAAGAAGAAAATTAAAAGTGAATACAGGAAAGAGTAAGGTTATGAGGAACAAAAAGATTAGGTGATGAAAGATTGGATATCAGATTGGAGGGAGAGAGTATGGAGGAGGTGAATGTATTCAAATATTTGGGAGTGGACGTGTCAGCAGATGGGTCTATGAAAGATGAGGTGAATCATAGAATTGATGAGGGGAAAAGGGTGAGTGGTGCACTTAGGAGTCTGTGGAGACAAAGAACTTTGTCCTTGGAGGCAAAGAGGGGAATGTATGAGAGTATAGTTTTACCAACGCTCTTATATGGGTGATGAATGTTGCAGCGAGGAGAAGGCTGGAGGCAGTGGAGATGTCATGTCTGAGGGCAATGTGTGGTGTGAATATAATGCAGAGAATTCTTAGTTTGGAAGGTAGGAGGATGTGCGGGATTACCAAAACTGTTGTCCAGAGGGCTGAGGAAGGGTTGTTGAGGTGGTTCGGACATGTAGAGAGAATGGAGCGAAACAGAATGACTTCAAGAGTGTATCAGTCTGTAGTGGAAGGAAGGCGGGGTAGGGGTCGGCCTAGGAAAGGTTGGAGGGAGGGGGTAAAGGAGGTTTTGTGTGCGAGGGGCTTGGACTTCCAGCAGGCATGCGTGAGCGTGTTTGATAGGAGTGAATGGAGACAAATGGTTTTTAATACCTGACGTGCTGTTGGAGTGTGAGCAAAGTAACATTTATGAAGGGGTTCAGGGAAACCGGCAGGCCGGACTTGAGTCCTGGAGATGGGAAGTACAGTGCCTGCACTCTGAAGGAGGGGATGTTAATGTTGCAGTTTAAAAACTGTAGTGTAAAGCACCCTTCTGGCAAGACAGTGATGGAGTGAATGATGGTGAAAGTTTTTCTTTTTCGAGCCACCCTGCCTTGGTGTGAATCGGCCAGTGTGATACTAAAAAAAAAAAAAAAAAAAAAATTCTCATTATGCACTGCGTGCTGCAGGATTTTTTTATATGGTGCACACTGACCACACAGACCCATTCTCTCACATGTGGGCCTACCAGCTTTCTCCTGCTTGATTTGAAGCTGCTAGAATTTGAGTATGTATATACATGTCCAAAACTGGGTCGTAAGACGTATATATACGACCAAAACATTCAAAGGGTTAAAGTGTAGGCATTGTGCTTCCCACCTTCATAAGTCAAGTTTGGCTATCTGGTTTCCATGAATCCCTTCACAAAATATTACCCTGCTCACACTCCGACAATTTGTCAAGTCCCGAAAACCATTTGTCTCTATCCTATCTAACACTCTCACACATACCTGCTACATGTCCAAGCCCCTTGCACACAAAACCTCTTTTATCACCTCCCTCCATCCTTTCCTAGGATGAACCCTACCCCTCCTTCCCTCCACTACAAATTTATACACTTTCCAAGTCATCCTGTTTTTGCTTCACCTTCTCTAAATGACCAAACCACCTCAACAACACTGCTTCTGGGAGATTCTGAAGACAAATTACAAAGATTGGTGGGCAAATTTGGGAGGGTTTGTGAAAGAAGGAAAATAAGAGTGAGCATAGGAAAGAGCAAAGTGATGTAAATATTATGCAGAGAGTTCGTAGCTTGGAGATTAGGAGATGTGACATTACTAAAAGTATTATCCAGAGGGCTGAGGAGGGGTTGTTGATGTGGTTTGGACATTTAGAGAGGATAGAGACAAATAGGATGACGTAGCTGGAGTCTACCTGGAGGGGTGTTCCGGGGATCAACGCCCATGCTGCCCGGTCCATGACCAGGCCTCCCAGTGGATTAGGGCCTGATCAACCAGGCTATTACTGCTCACCTCGTGGAGCCCAGCATATGAACCACAGCTCGGCTGATCCAGCACTGACTTTAAGTATCTGTCCAGTTCCCCCTTGAAGGCAGCCAGGGGCCCTATTGGAGGGTGTATTAAACTGTAGTGGAGGGAAGGTGAGGTAGGAGTCATCCTAGGAAAGGTTGGAGGGACAGGGTAGAGGAGGTTTTGTGTGTGAGGGGCTTGGAGGTGCATGTGAGTGTGTTAGATAAGAGTGAGTGGAGGCAAATGGCTTTTTGGAACTTGATGAGCTGTTGGAGTGCAGGCAGGGTAACATTTTGTGAAAGGATTCAAGGAAACTGGTTAACCAGACTTGAGTATACTGCACATCACCCTGTCTCAAGTCAAGTTATATCACACACCATGCTCTCTCTCTTCAAATAATTTGTACCCTGTTCTACTTTTTAACCCTTTCAGGGTCAAGAGGCCCTCTCCTAAACTTGTTCTCAGGGTCGAAAATTTTTCAGAAAATTTTTTTTTTCTTATGAAATGATAGAGAATCTCTTCCCGATCATAATGACACCAAATGTATGAAATTTGATGGAAAACTTACAGAATTATGCTCTCGCGAAGTTAGCAGTCTCGCCGATGCATAAGCATCGGCGATTCCGCCCACTTTGAGCCCGAGTTTTTGCCAATTCCTGTGTACTAATCGACAAAAATCATATTTATTTCTCTAGAGCTCCATTTTTTCTATCGATTGAGTACAAGAAACCACCCATTTACCAGTTTTAACTATCCAATAAAGTGGTTAGAAATTGGCAATTTTGCCAATTTCACACAAATTTCAGAAGATGCCAATTTCCAAATAGGGTCCAGAATAAACAAGAAAGACATTCCTGGCACTAAAATAACAAGTTCTCTGTTCATTAGCCATGTCTCCAGGCCCCTCTTATATTTCTTTTGCTTTCCACTTTGAATTTTTATTCTTACAAAAAATAGAAGATTTACTGTTATGCAGACTACTGCATTAGTGTAGAAATGGTATAAATAACATCAGCGCACTTGTGAAAGAATATTAGACTCACCAGTTGACGTGTATTGGACGCTTGGCACGATTTGTTTACTTTTTTTTTTTTTTTTTTTTTACACAGGGTTTGACAAGGTTAAGGATCCCTAGCTTTATTGACAAGCTATTTACAGGTTAATGATTCCTAACTTTATTGGCAAGCTAAGAGCTGTTACCTACATCAGCTCATTTGAAAGCATTTTTATTGTTAAGAGACATACAAGTAGGGAACAGGATGAAGTTGGAGCCATCTTTGGGCCAGCATTTTCATTTGATCAACTGACTTTATCTCGTTGACATCATTATGCTGTACGAATGTGTTCCATACTAGAGTCATCCTGGGTATGTATGATCTCAGATGGAGTGATGTTCTGGAGAAGGGTACAGCCAGAGTGAAGTTGCTGCTTTCTGCCCGTCTTGTGGTATAAAAGCTTGTTTCACGCTGTCCTCGAAGTGGATCCAAGTGTGGTACTTTGACAATATTGGCCTTGTACTTTTGAACTTTGGTAAAAATTGAACATTTCTGCTACTTTGAGCTCAATTTCAAGGTACTTTTCATTGTGAAACCAGTCAAAATCATCTCAATTTCTGTAATATGTCTTCCATTCTATAAAATGAGACCAGGAAACTAAAATACAACCATAAATACCATATGAAAATACAGTGCAAAGTCGCTGTTTTAATCCAAAAACACTGTCAAAGGTTTTTTTTTCTCATTATGCACAGTGTGCTGCATGATTTTTTTTATACTGCGCACACTGACCACATAGCCCCATTCTTTCATATGTAGGCCTACCAGCTTTCTCTCGCTAGATTTGAAAGCACTAGAATTTAGGCATACTAGTACGTCAATAACCCTGGTGTGTATGCCGTACTAGTACGTTGAAAACCCTGAAAGTGTTAAATTGAAAGATTTTTTAGTTATTTACAATGTAATGCTACTGTAAGCTTTGTATTAGGTTTCATTTTAATTATGTTCGAAATTCTGTACTTGATAATCAGTGTTGTTACTACAGTAATGTATTAATATAATGTTAATAATACAATATATCATGATGTAGCTTTTATTTTTGCTTGAAATGCTTTGCATACTATGTGCCTCTAAATACAACGTGAACTATTGTACTCTTCCCAAATAAATAAAATGTAAATTTTGTGTTTTCATTTGCTTACGTGTTCTAGGCATTTTTTATGGATGCAACTTTGTGTTGCCATCATCTTTCAGAGCAATTGCTCCCACTTAGCATGAGTAATATTGATTGTATATAAAGTAAACAACAGTAAGTGTAAAATATAGAACTGAACAATTGGTTGTAGATCCCAGCCTCAGTGGGAAACGGCCTGGAGTATACTGGGAGAGGGTTTCGGGGGTCAGTGCCCCTGCGGCTCAGCCTGAGACCAGGCCTTATGGTGGCTCAGGGTCTGATCAACCAGGCTTTTACTGCTGGCCGCACGCAAACTGACGTACGAACCACAGCCCGGTTGGTCAGCTACTGAATTTAGGTGCCTGTCTGGTGTCGTTTTGAAGACAGTCAGGGGTCTATTGGTTATCCCCCTTATGTATACTGGGAGGCAGTTGAACAGTCTTGGGCCCCTGACACTTAATTGTGTTATCTCTCAGTGTACTCGTGGCACCCCTGCTTTTCATTGGGGGAATGTTGCATCTCCTGCCGAGTCTCTTGCTTTCACAGGGAGAGATTTTTGTTTGTAAGTTTGATACTAATCCCTCTAGGATTTTCCAAGTGTATATTATCATGTATCTCTTATGCCTGTGTTCTAGGGAATACAAATCAAGGAATGTCAACCATTCCCAGTAATTTAGGTGCCTTATCGTACTTGTGTGTGCCATGAAAGTTTTGTACACTCTAAATTATGGGATAAAATTAATCAAAATTTTAAACTGAATTCTTGTTATTGTACTTCTTTTGAAAATTAGTGTATTGATTAGTGTGTTATTTTCAGGTTTGGGCGTGAATTAAATCAGCTCATTGAAGGAAGTGGTGGTGTAAGTGCTAGTTCTGCTACAACGCCTACAGGGATCCCTGCTTCTCGACCTCGAGAAAGAAGTGCTGGACGCACTGGACTGCCATTCATCCGGGACCCTCTGACAGGACCTATGTCTAGGTATCAAAGTGCAAGACGTGGAGCCCGTACTACCACTACCACAGCTGATCCACAAAATGCCAGAAGAGACACCCTCTCCTATGTTGTGTCACTACTGCGGGCCCACAAGAATGAACATTGTGATACATTGCCTGACATTGATGTTGGGTCACTAAAACATATAGGTGAGAGATTGAGGTTTAATTGCTAAGATTCATGATAGTTTGTGAATATAATAATGGTATACAGTATTGAAAAGTAGATAGTAAGATGCATGCAACGGTTAGGTATCTTTGTTCCAAAATGTTGAAAGTGAACATAGAAAAGAGTAAGGTGATGAGAGTATCAAATGATTTAGATAAAGAAAAATTGAATATCAAATTGGGGAGGAAGAGTATGGAAGAAGTGAATGTTTTCAGATATTTGGGAGTTGATGTGTCAGTGGATGGATTTATGAAGGATGAGGTTAATCATAGAATTGATGAAGGAAAAAAGGTGAGTGGTGCATTGAGGTATATGTGGAGGCAAAAAATGTTATCTATGGAGGCAAAGAAGGGAATGTATGAAAGTATAGTAGTACCAACACTCTTATATGGGTGTGAAGCTTGGGTTGTAAATGTTGCAGCAAGGAGGCGGTTGGAGGCAGTGGAGATGTCCTGTCTAAGAGCAATGTGTGGTGTAAATATTATGCAGAAAATTCGGAGTGTGGAAATTAGGAGAAGGTGTGGAGTTAATAAAAGTATTAGTCAGAGGGCTGAAGAGGGTTTGTTGAGGTGGTTTGGTCATTTAGAGAGAATGGATCAAAGTAGAATGACATGGAGAGCATATAAATCTGTAGGGGAAGGAAGTCGGGGTAGGGGTCGTCCTCGAAAAGGTTGGGAGGGAGGGGGTAAAGGAGGTCTTGTGGGCGAAGGGTTTGGACTTCCAGCAAGCATGCGTGAGCATGTTAGATAGGAGTGAATGGAGACAAATGGTATTTGGGACTTGACGATCTGTTGGAGTGTGAGCAGGGTAATATTTAGTGAAGGGATTCAGGGAAACCGGTTATTTTATATAACCGGACTTGGGTCCTGGAAATGGGAAGTACAATGCCTGCACTCTAAAGGAGGAGTTTGGGATATTGGCAGTTTGGAGAGATATATTGTGTATTTTTATACATATATACTTCTGTGTGTGATGAATGGTTTGAAAAACCGACAAGTTGAAGATTGAGACACTTATGCAACATATGGGAATCTTTATTCAGGAAACGTTTCGCCACACATTGGCTTCATCAGTCCAATACAAAGTAGAAAGGCGTAAGGAGAGGAGGAGTTTGAGGTAATCAGTCCCTCAGCCTGGAGTCGATGTGTTCAGTCCATCAATCTTGTAGTATGTACAGCATAGGGCCTTAGACGTGGCTTATATACTGTAGTGAGGTGAGGCGAAGTAGGAGGAGGTGGGGTCATAGTGGTATCATCTACTAGTCGAAGTAGGTCTTCGTCCAAAGGTTGGACAAGTGTTGAAGAATTCTTTGTAACAAGATCCCATGATGCTGCAGTGTCTGACAGTTGTGATGAATGGTTTGAAAAACCGACAGGTTGAAGATTGAGACACTTATGCAACATAAGGGAATCTTTATTCAGGAAACGTTTCACCACACAGTGGCTTCATCAGTCCAATACAAAGTAGAAAAGCATAAGGAGAGGAGGAGTTTGAGGTAATCAGTCCCTCAGCCTGGAGTCTATGTGTTCAGTCCATCAATCTTGTAGAGTGTACAGCATAGGGCGGTAGACTGATTACCTCAAACTCCTCCTCTCCTTACGCCCTTCTACTTTGTATTGGACTGATAAAGCCACAGTGTGGCGAAACGTTTCCTGAATAAAGATTCCCATATGTTGCATAAGTGTCTCAATCTTCAACGTATATATTTCTAAACTGTTGTATTCTGGGCACCTCTGCAAAAACAGTGATTATGTGTGAGTGAGGTGAAAGTGTTGAATGATGATGAAAGTATTTTCTTTTTGGGGATTTTCTTTCTCTTTGGGTCACCCTGCCTCGGTGGGAGACGGCCGACTTGTTGAGAAAAAAAAATCAGGCTTTATCAGTCAGATACAGTTTCTTGGCATATAATTTTAACCTTACTAAAAAAATTGTAAAGGATTATCATAAAATTTTATTCATCATGTTTGAGGGGATGTCTTGAGTAATTATTATAGTTAAAAACTGGCAGTGTGCTAGTTGGTAAAAAAACACAAATACAATGTAGTTCTTTATTTGTACAACTTTTTGCCTATCATTGTGCTTTATCAGGTACATCAAATAAAGGCCAGTGTTGGGTGAAATATTTTACAAATAAAGGACTCCACTGCATTGTGTTTTTTGCATCAACTTTTGGCATCTGTCATTTTCTCTGTTGATGTGTGAACTTTTGTGAATATAGTTGTTCTAGTATTGAGATCATGTGCTAAAGATGGGTGAGAGTACTTTAAGTTGTGCTATATGGTATTTGTATCTACATAGATGCATTGCATGTCTTCAGATCCTTTTATTAAGTTTTCCTATATTGTTTCATATTTGTATCTTTCTTTGACTTTATTATTATAAATTTTTTTTGCAGCTTATGTGTTTGATGCTCTCATCAGCTACCTACGGTGTTGTGAGAGTGACAGTAATGCTCACATAGACTCTGGAGGGGCAGAGTGCACAGGGTTTTCATGGGAACGAGATGAGAATGAGAATGAGGATGATCTGGATGACCTGCCTTCTATTACTCCCTCAGCTGGTGACAGTGAATCTGTAGATGAAGATTCTAACCTGTCAAACTCACGTGGCAGAAAGCACACATTTTTCCAGGTGATATGTTGTGAATGGATATCCTGTCCATATTGATAATTTGTGAATCTGCAGTTTTGTACTTTTTTGGGGGGCTATTATTCAAATAGCTAGCACACTGTTGTGTTTATAATATTTTGAAAGTTTCATGCACTTATGTTATTGACTACTATTAGTAAACTTATTTTCTATACACCTAGGTAGTAGGTTGGTAGACAGCAACTACCCAGGGAGGTACTACCATCCTGCCAAGTGATTGTAAAACGAAAGCCTGTAATTGTTTTACATGATGGTAGGATTGCTGGAGGCAATTAGGGTAAGATATAAACAGCTATTGGAGGATAGATGGGCTAATGAGAGCATAGGCAATGGGGTCGAAGAGGTATGGGGTAGGTTTAAAAATGTAATGTTAGAGTGTTCAGCAGAAGTTTGTGGTTACAGGAAAGTGGGTGCGGGAGGGAAGAGGAGCAATTGGTGGAATGATGATGTAAAGAGAGTAGTAAGGGAGAAAAAGTTAGCATATGAGAAGTTTTTACAATATAGAAGTGATGCAAGGAGGGAAGAGTATATGGAGAAAAAGAGAGAGGTTAAGAGAGTGGTGAAGCAATGTAAAAAGAGAGCAAATGAGAGAATGGGTGAGATGTTATCAACAAATTTTGTTGAAAATAAGAAAAAGTTTTGGAGTGAGATTAACAAGTTAAGGAAGCCTAGAGAACAAATGGATTTGTCAGTTAAAAATAGGAGAGGAGAGTTATTAAATGGAGAGTTAGAGGTATTGGGAAGATGGAAGGAATATTTTGAGGAATTGTTAAATGTTGATGAAGATAGGGAAGCTGTGATTTTGTGTATAGGGCAAGGAGGAATAACATCTTGAAGGAGTGAGGAAGAGCCAGTTGTGAGTGTGGGGGGAAGTTCGTGAGGCAGTAGGTAAAATGAAAGGGGGTAAAGCAGCCGGGATTGATGGGATAAAGATAGAAATGTTAAAAGCAGGTGGGGGATATAGTTTTGTAGTGGTTGGTGCAATTATTTAATAAATGTATGGAAGAGGGTAAGGTACCTAGGGATTGGCAGAGAGCATGCATAGTTTCTTTGTATAAAGGCAAAGGGAACAAAAGAGAGTGCAAAAATTATAGGGGGATAAGTCTGTTGAGTATACCTGGTAAAGTGTATGGTAGAGTTATTATTGAAAGAATTAAGAGTAAGACAGAGAATAGGATAGCAGATGAACAAGGAGGCTTTAGGAAAGGAAGGGGGTGTGTGGACCAGGTGTTTACAGTGAAACATAATTGAACAGTATTTAGATACGGCTAAAGAGGTTTTTGTGGCATTTACGGATTTGGAAAAGGCGTACGACAGGGTGGATAGGGGGGCAATGTGGCAGATGTTGCAGGTGTATGGTGTAGGAGGTAAATTACTGAAAGCAGTGAAGAGTTTTTACGAGGATAGTGAGGCTCAAGTTAGAGTATGTAGGAAAGAGGGAGATTATTTCCTAGTAAAAGTAGGCCTTAGACAAGGATGTGTGATGTCACCGTGGTTGTTTAATATATTTATAGATGGGGTTGTAAGAGAAGTAAATGCGAGGGTCTTGGCAAGAGGCGTGGAGGTAAAAGATAAAGAATCACACACAAAGTGGGAGTTGTCACAGTTGCTCTTTGCTGATGACACTGTGCTCTTAGGAGATTCTGAAGAGAAGTTGCAGAGGTTGGTGGATGAATTTGGTAGGGTATGCAAAAGAAGAAAATTAAAAGTGAATACAGGAAAGAGTAAGGTTATGAGGATAACAAAAAGATTAGGCGATGAAAGATTGGATATCAGATTGGATGGAGAGAGTATGGAGGAGGTGAATGTATTCAGATATTTGGGAGTGGACGTGTCAGCGGATGGGTCTATGAAAGATGAGTGAATCATAGAATTGATGAGGGGAAAAGGGTGAGCGGTGCACTTAGGAGACTGTGGAGACAAAGAACTTTGTCCTTGGAGGCAAAGAGGGGAATGTATGAGAGTATAGTTTTACCAACGCTCTTATATGGGTGTGAAGCATGAGTGATGAATGTTGCAGCGAGGAGAAGGCTGGAGGCAGTGGAGATGTCATGTCTGAGGGCAATGTGTGGTGTGAATATAATGCAGAGAATTCGTAGTTTGGAAGTTAGGAGGAGGTGCGGGATTACCAAAACTGTTGTCCAGAGGGCTGAGGAAGGGTTGTTGAGGTGGTTTGGACATGTAGAGAGAATGGAGTGAAACATAATGACTTCAAGAGTGTATCAGTCTGTAGTGGAAGGAAGGTGGGGTAGGGGTCGGCCTAGGAAAGGTTGGAGGGAGGGGGTAAAGGAGGTTTTGTGTGCAAGGGGCTTGGACTTCCAGCAGGCATGCGTGAGCGTATTTGATAGGAGTGAATGGAGACAAATGGTTTTTAATACTTGACGTGCTGTTGGAGTGTGAGCAAAATAACATTTATGAAGGAATTCAGGGAAACCGGCAGGCCGGATTTGATTCCTGGAGATGGGAAGTACAGTGCCTGCACTCTGAAGGAGGGGTGTTAATGTTGCAGTTTAAAAACTGTAGTGTAAAGCACCCTTCTGGCAAGACAGTGATGGAGTGAATGATGGTGAAAGTTTTTCTTTTTCAGGCCACCCCGCCTTGGTGGGAATCGGCCAGTGTGTTAATGATAATAATAATAATATGATTGCTGGTGTCTTTTTTCTGTCTCATAAACATGCAAGATTTCAGGTACGTCTTGCTACTTCTACTTACACTTAGGTCACACTACACATACATGTACAAGCATATATATATACACACCCCTCTGGGTTTTCTGCTATTTTCTTTCTAGTTCTTGTTCTTGTTTAATTTCCTCTTATCTCCATGGGGAAGTGGAACAGAATTCTTCCTCCGTAAGCCATGCGTGTTGTAAGAAGCGACTAAAATGCCGGGAGCAAGGGGCTAGTAACCCTTTCTCCTGTATAAATTACTAAATTTGAAAAGAGAAACTTTTGTTTTTCTTTTTGGGCCATCCTGCCTTGGTGGGATACGGCCGGTTTGTTGAAAGAAAGAAGAAACATGCAAGATTTCAGGTACAGTGGAACCTCAAAAATCGAACTGCTCCGAACTCAAGCAGTTATGTAAGTATATTTTTGTAAGTGCTTTTATAAGTGTATTTTTGAGGGTCTGAAATGGACTAATCTAATTTACATTATTCCTGATGGGAATAAATTCGTTCAGTAGCAGCACACAAACAGCCTTCTGGACCGAAGAAAGTTCGATTTTTGAGGTTCCACTGTACGTCTTGCTACTTCTACTTACACTTAGGTCACACTACACATACATTTTTTTTTTTTTCAACAAGTCGGCCGTCTCCCACCGAGGCAGGGTGACCCAAAAAAGAAAGAAAATACCCAAAAAGAAAATACTTTCATCATCATTCAACACTTTCACCACTCTCACACATTATCACTGTTTTTGCAGAGGTGCTCAGAATACAACAGTTTAGAAGCATATACGTATAAAGATACACAACATATCCCTCCAAACTGCCAATATGCCAAACCCCTCCTTTAAAGTGCAGGCATTGTACTTCCCATTTCCAGGACTCAAGTCTGACTATATGAAAATAACCGGTTTCCCTGAATCCCTTCACTAAATATTACCCTGCTCACACTCCAACAGATCGTCAGGTCCCAAGTACCATTCATCTCCATTCACTCCTATCTAACACGCTCACGCACGCTTGCTGGAAGTCCAAGCCCCTCGCCCACAAAACCTCCTTTACCCCCTCTCTCCAACCCTTTCGAGGATGACCCCTACCCCTCCTTCCTTCCCCTATAGATTTATATGCTTTCCATGTCATTCTACTTTGATCCATTCTCTCTAAATGACCAAACCACCTCAACAACCCCTCTTCTGCCCTCTGACTAATGCTTTTATTAACTCCACACCTTCTCCTAATTTCCACACTTCGAATTTTCTGCATAATATTTACACCACACATTGCCCTTAGACAGGACATCTCCACTGCCTCCAACCGTCTCCTCGCTGCTGCATTTACCACCCAAGCTTCACATCCATGTAAGAGTAAATAACAAAAAAAGGCACAATACCGTGACTGGAATGATACACAAATAACCCACACATAAAAGAGAGAAGCTTACGACGACGTTTCGGTCCGACTTGGACCATTGACAAAGTCACACTAACCAGAAGTGGAGCAGGACAGCTATATATAGGCAGGAGGATGTGGCTGTAGTAGTAGTAGTACAAGAATAGTATATAATACCGACAAGATGAAATTAAGACACGCGCAACACCCGGGCATCCTTATCGCAGATGTTTCGCCATCCAGCCAGCCACTGGATGGCGAAACGTCCACAACAAAGACAGCCAGACATCGCACATGTGTCCATAGATAACGTTTTTTGACTCCACATATACCTCAACGCACCACTCGCCTTTTTTCCCTCATCAATTCTATGATTAACCTCATCCTTCATAAATCCATCCGCCGATACGTCAACTCCCAAGTATCTGAAAACATTCACTTCTTCCATACTCCTCCTCCCCAATTTGATATCCAATTTTTCTTTATCTAAATCATTTGATACCCTCATCACCTTACTCTTTTCTATGTTCACTTTCAACTTTCTACCTTTACACATATTCCCAAACTCATCCACTAACCTTTGCAATTTTTCTTTAGAATCTCCCATAAGCACAGTATCATCAGCAAAAAGTAACTGTGTCAATTCCCATTTTGAATTTGATTCCCCATAATTTAATCCCACCCCTCTCCCGAACACCCTAGCATTTACTTCTTTTACAACCCCATCTATAAATTTATTAAACAACCATGGTGACATTACACATCCCTGTCTAAGACCTACTTTTAACGGGAAGTATTCTCCCTCTCTTCTACACACCCTAACCTGAGCCTCGCTATCCTCATAAAAACTCTTAACAGCATTTAGTAACTTACCACCTATTCCATATACTTGCAACATCTGCCACATTGCTCCTCTATCCACTCTATCATATGCATTTTCTAAATCCATAAATGCAATAAAAACTTCCCTACCTTTATCTAAATACTGTTCACATATATGCTTCAATGTAAACACTTGATCTACACATCCTCTACCCACTCTGAAGCCTCCCTGCTCATCCACAATCCTACATTCTGTCTTACCTCTAATTCTTTCACTTATAACCCTACCGTATACTTTTCCTGGTATACTCAGTAAACTTGTTCCTCTATAATTTTTACAATCTCTTTTGTCCCCTTTCCCTTTATATAAAGGGATTATACATACTCTCTGCCAATCCCTAGGTACCTTCCCCTCTTTCATACATTTATTAAACAAAAGTACCAACCACTCCAACACTATATCCCCCCCTGCTTTTAACATTTCTGTCATGATCCCATTAGTTCCAGCTGCTTTACCCCCTTTCATTCTACGTAATGCCTCGCGTACCTCCACCACACTTACATTCTGCTCTTCTTCACTCCTAAAAGATGGTATACCTCCCTGGCCAGTGCATGAAATTGCCGCCTCCCTTCCTCAACATTTAAAAGTTCCTCAAAATATTCTCGCCATCTACCTAATACCTCCCTCTCCCCATCTATTAACTCCCCTACTCTGTTTTTAACTGACAAATCCATACTTTCCCTAGGCTTTCTCAACTTGTTTAACTCACTCCAAAATTTTTTCTTATTTTCATTAAAATTTCTTGACAGTGCCTCTCCCACTCTATCATCTGCTCTCCTTTTGCACTCTCTCACCACTCTCTTCACCTTTCTTTTACTGTCCATATACTCTGCTTTTCTTATAACACTTCTGCTTTGTAAAAACCTCTCATAAGCTAACTTTTTCTCTTTTATCACACCCTTTACTTCATCATTCCACCAATCACTCCTCTTTCCACCTGCCCCCACCCTCCTATAACCACAAACTTCTGCCCCACATTCTAATACTGCATTTTTAAAACTATTCCAACCCTCTTCAACCCCCCCACTACTCATCTTTGCACTAGCCCACCTTTCTGCCAACAGTTGCTTATATCTCCCCCGAATTTCCTCCTCCCTTAGTTTATACACTTTCACCTCCCTCTTACTTGTTGTTGCCACCTTCCTCTTTTCCCATCTACCTCTTACTCTAACTGTAGCTACAACTAAATAATGATCCGATATATCAGTTGCCCCTCTATAAACATGTACATCCTGGAGCCTACCCATCAACCTTTTATCCACCAATACATAATCTAACAAACTACTTTCATTACGTGCTACATCATACCTTGTATATTTATTTATCCTATTTTTCATAAAATATGTATTACTTATTACCAAATTTCGTTCTACACATAGCTCAATTAAAGGCTCCCAATTTACATTTACCCCTGGCACCCCAAATTTACCCACTACTCCCTCCATAACATTTTTACCCACTTTAGCATTGAAATCACCAACCACCATTACTCTCACATGTACAAGCATATATATACACACACCCCTCTGGGTTTTCTGCTATTTTCTTTCTAGTTCTTGTTCTTGTTTAATTTCCTCTTATCTCCATGGGGAAGTGGAACACAATTCTTCCTCCGTAAGCCATGCGTGTTGTAAGAAGCACCTAAAATGCCAGGAGGAAGGGGCTAGTAACCCCTTCTGTATAAATTACTAAATTTGAAAAGAGAAACTTTTGTTTTTCTTTTTTGGCCACCCTGCCTCGGTGGGATACGGCCGGTTTGTTGAAAGAAAGATTTTCTATACAATGCGTGCCTTCTAGATGATGGGTGGGAATACTGCAGTTCGAAGAATTATTAGAATTGTAATAGCTGTGAAGAGAGTAGTAAGGGAGAAAAAGTTAGCATATGAGAAGTTTTTACAAAGTAGAAGTGATGCAAGGAGGGAAGAGTATATGGAGAAAAAGAGAGAGGTTAAGAGAGTGGTGAAGCAATGTAAAAAGAGAGCAAATGAGAGAGTGGGTGAGATGTTATCAACAAATTTGTTGAAAATAAGAAAAAGTTTTGGAGTGAGATTAACAAGTTAAGAAAGCCTAGAGAACAAATGGATTTGTCAGTTAAAAATAGGAGAGGAGAGTTATTAAATGGAGAGTTAGAGGTATTGGGAAGATGGAGGGAATATTTTGAGGAATTGTTAAATGTTGATGAAGATAGGGAAGCTGTGATTTCGTGTATAGGGCAAGGAGGAACAACATCTTGTAGGAGTGAGGAAGAGCCAGTTGTGAGTGTGGGGGAAGTTCGTGAGGCAGTAGGTAAAATGAAAGGGGGTAAGGCAGCCGGGATTGATGGGATAAAGATAGAAATGTTAAAAGCAGGTGGAGATATAGTTTTGGAGTGGTTGGTGCAATTATTTAATAAATGTATGGAAGAGGGTAAGGTACTAGGGATTGGCAGAGAGCATGCATAGTTTCCTTTGTATAAAGGCAAAGGGGATAAAAGAGAGTGCAAAAATTATAGGGGGATAAGTCTGTTGAGTATACCTGGCAAAGTGTATGGTAGAGTTATTATTGAAAGAATTTAAAGAGTAAGGAGACGGAGAATAGGATAGCAGATGAACAAGGAGGCTTTAGGAAAGGTAGGGGTGTGTGGACCAGGTGTTTACAGTGAAACATATAAGTGAACAGTATTTAGATAAGGCTAAAGAGGTCTTTGTGGCATTTATGGATTTGGAAAAGGCGTATGACAGGGTGGATAGGGGGGCAATGTGGCAGATGTTGAGGTGTATGGTGTAGGAGGTAGGTTACTGAAAGCAGTGAAGAGTTTTTACGAGGATAGTGAGGCTCAAGTTAGAGTATGTAGGAAAGAGGGAAATTATTTCCCAGTAAAAGTAGGCCTTAGACAAGGATGTGTGATGTCACCGTGGTTGTTTAATATATTTATAGATGGGGGTTGTAAGAGAAGTAAATGCGAGGGTCTTGGCAAGAGGCGTGGAGTTAAAGATAAAGAATCACACATAAAGTGGGAGTTGTCACAGTTGCTCTTTGCTGATGACACTGTGCTCTTGGGAGATTCTGAAGAGAAGTTGCAGAGATTGGTGGATGAATTTGGTAGGGTGTGCAAAAGAAGAAAATTGAAAGTGAATACAGGAAAGAGTAAGGTTATGAGGATAACAAAAAGATTAGGTGATGAAAGATTGGATATCAGATTGGAGGGAGAGAGTATGGAGGAGGTGAATGTATTCAGATATTTGGGAGTGGACGTGTCAGCGGATGGGTCTATGAAAGATGAGGTGAATCATAGAATTGATGAGGGGAAAAGGGTGAGTGGTGCACTTAGGAGTCTGTGGAGACAAAGAACTTTGTCCATGGAGGCAAAGAGGGGAATGTATGAGAGTATAGTTTTACCAACGCTCTTATATGGGTGTGAAGCATGGGGGATGAATGTTGCAGCGAGGAGAAGGCTGGAGGCAGTGGAGATGTCATGTCTGAGAGCAATGTGTGGTGTGAATATAATGCAGAGAATTCGTAGTTTGGAAGTTAGGAGGAGGTGCGGGATTACCAAAACTGTTGTCCAGAGGGCTGAGGAAGGGTTGTTGAGGTGGTTCGGACATGTGGAGAGAATGGAGCGAAACAGAATAACTTCAAGAGTGTATCAGTCTGTAGTGGAAGGAAGGCGGGGTAGGGGTCGGCCTAGGAAAGGTTGGAGGGAGGGGGTAAGGAGGTTTTGTGTGCGAGGGGCTTGGACTTCCAGCAGGCATGCGTGAGCGTGTTTGATAGGAGTGAATGGAGACAAATGGTTTTTAATACTTGACGTGCTGTTGGAGTGTGAGCAAAGTAACATTTATGAAGGGGTTCAGGGAAACCGGCAGGCCGGACTTGAGTCCTGGAGATGGGAAGTACAGTGCCTCCACTCTGAAGGAGGGGTGTTAATGTTGCAGTTTAAAAACTGTAGTGTAAAGCACCCTTCTGGCAAGACAGTGATGGAGTGAATGATGGTGAAAGTTTTTCTTTTTCGGGCCACCCTGCCTTGGTGGGAATCGGCCAGTGTGATAATAATAATAAAAAAAAATAATAGCTGTGCTTTTGTGCAAAGTCATCTATGGTATGAGTGATGGTGAATGTGTTTTCATTCTTTGGGTCACTTTGCCCTGGTGGAAAATGTTTTGTGTTTAAAAGAATTTTTCACAAAGTGCAGGAATACTAATGCTGTGAAATTTGGTTCACAGAGATCACAGTCAACATTATGCTTGGGGTCAGTAGGTGCTGATGTCTTTACCAGCAGCTTGCAGGAGTCATTACCACTTGCTGACAAGCCTCACCTCCTGCAGCCCAATGCACGTAGAGAAGAATTATTTGGAATTCCTCGTGCACACACTCATAATGCTGGTAAGTGCATATTGCATCCACCCTTAAATTTCCCTAGGGAAGGAGCTTTTGGATGCAGGTAGTATATTACTTCAGGTTTACCATTCCAATCTGTCTATCTGTAACTATCAGTGCACCTAAATTTTTTTTATTTGTTGGTTATGTGTAGGCTGCTATACATATAGTAATATCTCTTATTCTGAACCTTTATAATTTGGTTTAGTCAGACTCGTAAAATTAAATTTGAATTGGTAATAATTTAAGAAACTTTGAATTTTTTGTAACATGTTTTGAAATTTAGATTATTTCTTTAACTCTTATACTTTTTTCTAGAAAGAAAGAAAGCAGGGTAATATTTTGTGAAGGGATTCAGGGAAACCAGTTAGCCGGACTTGAGTCCTGGAGGTGGGAGGTACAGTGCCTGCACTTTAAAGGAGGGGTTTGGGATATTGGCTGTTTAGAGTGACATTTAAATTGTCATACCTAGGTACTGCTGCAAAGACAGACTATGTGTGAATGATGGTGAAAGTGTCTTTCTTTTTTGGGTCACCCTGCCTTGGTGGGAAGCAACTGGCGTGTTAAAAAAAAAAAAAAAAATCAGAAACACTTATAATTTTCAAATTGGAAACTTAGTACAGAGGATTATCATACAGGACCTTTTATATTTTGAATGAGCTTTCTTTCCCTTTCTGGTTTTCTCAGTAGCTGATTAAAGGAACTACATACATGTATGGCTACATGCCATCAGTTGAAAAATGTTGGCTTTATGACCTTTAACTTTGATCAGCAGATGGTATCACCTACTGGATTAAAATTGTGCCTTTTGGTTGATGAGTCATTGTAGCACAGTGCAGACTGTTCAAAATGTTTTCTGGTGAAAAGAATGAAATCACAACTTGTGCAGTCAGAAGACACTGTTCAGTTCATTAACACAATCTACAATGTGAAAGAAACAACTGCTACTTTCATACAGTCACATAAGTCCCATCCTTACCACCCACTCGCCTATCTCACGAACACCAACTACCTATGTCACCCCTTCACACTCCTAAATTTCTTACAGACTTCTCATTATATCTTTGTTCCATTCTTATTTGCAGGTTATGGTACAAGAACACCTTTAGATTCTCCTCTCTCCCGGCTAGGTGTTTTAGAAAATCTGCACATGGTGGGTCCATACCCACCCACTCCTCAGCAGTCTTATGCACACATGCTGGGAAGTTCACGCACACTAGACCACCAGCCAACTGATCTTTCTCTGTATGCAACAGGACAGTTAAGGGATTTAAAGGTATTGTCACTTATCTATCTCCCTTATCTGTTCTGTAAATTTCCCTGTAGTTCTTGATGATGGTTTATATCCAATGATAATTACCAGATTCATGTTCTCTATCTTAATACCTAGTGCTTCTAATAAATTATTGATTTTGGCAGTTCTGTACATTTTAGCAAGTTTTGTCTTACTCCCAGTGATTTATAAATTCTCACATTTGTATACATTGTGGTAATGTTAATTAATATATAGTCTGAAAATGGTGTAATATTAGATGTATATAGTGGTGTATTGGTTGGGGTGAAGCATGTTTTCTAAACTGTAGTTACTTAAGAGTATTGAGCTCTCTTTAACGAGCAGGATGAAGACACGAGTGAGGACAGTGGAGAGACATCTCAAGAAAGAGCACCAATCATTGTTTCACCTCGAAGGAGTGGCAGCAGTTTGGCAGATGGAATCGATCATGGCAGTAGTGGTGCTACCTACACAACAGACACCACACCTACAAGATCCAGTGTCAAGAGTGTTATTGTCAGAGTTGGCTCATCAACTGTCTCAAATGCATTCAAACCTGAGGTGAGAGTAATTTTGTTTTATTCTGATTAAGTAAGCATTAAAATATGTAGAAGGGCCATGAGCCATTTTATTATTAGTATGAGAATAGGCATGTTGTCAAGTGAGTGAATTGCATGTAGGGGAAAGGTGAGGGATTAAAAGATAATGAATCTGATATAAAAGGGAGTTAACGCACTTAGTGTTAGGGTGATGGCAATATTTTTGGGAGACTTCAAAGATAATTTTCGGGAAGGTGGAAACACTTGGGAGGGCATGTTAAGACGAAAGTGATGTAGAGTATATCTTGGGAATGAAAGAATGGTGGTTAGATTGGAGGGAAGGAGTATGACAGAGGTGAATTTATTTAGAAATATGAGAGTGAATGTGTGAGCAGATGGGCATATGAACTATGAGGTAAATCAAAGAATACATAAGGGAAAGAGTACATATAACTGATTTGTTGAGGAGTCTGTGGGAAAATATTATGTTTTGAAGGATGGAAATTACTTTCTGCAAAGGCTATTTGATACCTAAAGGATGTTTTCAGGGGTTAATGCCCTCGTGGCCCTATCCCAGACCAGGCCTCTTTGTGGATCAAGACCTGATCAACCAGGCTGATTCTGCTGGCTGCATTCAGTCCAACATTCAAACAACAGCACGAATGGTTAGGAACTGACTTGAAAAACTTAACCAAGTTCTCCCTTGAAGAAAGCCAAGGTTTCATAGTAATCTCCTTCATGCATAAAGGAAACGTGTTGAAAAATCAAGGACCTTTGACATTTATTAACCTCTCTCTTAGTGTACTTATTGTGCCTTTGCTTTTTATTGGAAGTACTTTGCACTGTCTGTAAAGTCTCTTGCTTTCATACAGTGATTTTGGTGTGCAGGTTTGGGAGCAGATAATAGCCTGTCTGTTTAACTTTTATGACACCAGTAATAGACTTAAATTACTTGAAAAGCCTGGCATGTCATTTTGTTTACACCTCCTGTGTGCAGGGTCACGGCTCTCCCTCCTTCATCAACATCAGACACTTCAGGCTTTCATCCACATTAGGTAGAGCTTGTTGAAGCATAGCTGGCAAGGGGAGGTGGCAGACACTATGGTTTGTTGAACCCTTCACATAAAGCCAGTTTTTTGTCCTTCAAAACTATTATTTCCAGTTTTCTGTCCTTCAAAACTATTATTTTGTATTTTTGGACCACAGAAATCCTACCACAGGTAGGATGTTCAAATTCAAATGTTTATTTCTCTGTAAAGATTACAGTGTGGGGTTTACATCCAGGAGGGATATACTTCCAACTAGTTATATGGGTATAGGTAAATGATATTAGCAGTTTGGAGGGATATGTTGTGTATCTTTATACGTACAGTGGACCCCGGTTAACGATATTTTTTCACTCCAGAAGTATGTTCAGGTGCCAGTACTGACCGAATTTGTTCCCTTAAGAAATATTGTGAAGTAGATTAGTCCATTTCAGACCCCCAAACATACACGTACAAACGCACTTACATAAATACACTTACATAATTGATCGCATTCGGAGGTAATCGTTATGCGGGGGTCCACTGTATATGCTTCTAAACTGTTGTGTTCTGAGCACCTCTGCAAAAACAGTGATTATGTGTGAGTGAGGTGAAAGTGTTGAATGATGATGAAAGTATTTTCTTTTTGGGGATTTTCTTTCTTTTTTTTTTTTTTGGGTCACCCTGCCTCGGTGGGAGACGGCCGACTTGTTGAAAAAAAAAAAAAAAAAGGTAAATGAGGGGTGGAGATATTTGCAGTTTTGGGATGGGCATCAGAATTATAGTATATGTGCCCCTGGCAAAACAGTGATAGAGTGAATGTTGGTGAATGTGTTTCTTTTTCGGGTCACCTTACCTCAGTAGAAGACAGCCACTGTGATAAAAAAAGAAAAAGGCTGTTAAATGTGTTGTACTGGCAAGATTGCTGGTCTTCTCATTGAGTGATTCTTAATAGTTGTAGTCATAATACTGTATTTCCTTTGTAATTTATGTAGGCCTAGTCTGAGACTGCCTGTGGGGTGATGAGCCCCAGAACAAATATGTAAATGTAACCATTATATAAAAAATCTGGCAGAGGCCATTGAAGACTTGAAGGAGAATAAAGTGTAGAGCACTGAGACAAGAAACTCTCATTCTCTGACTTTTAGCTGAATTGCTTGATACACAATGGTTTGGATGCTAGGAGACTGCACACCTGTTCAGTTTTTGCCTTGCTCATGCTGTTTTATAGTACAGTGTAGGTTTTTACGTCACCATAAGGGCATTAAGTAGGGCACCTTTGTTTATGCTAAATTCATTCATTTAGTAAATTTTTTTTACCTTATTTAACTGCAATGACATCTTTGTCATTCTTTTCACTGTCACATTGTGAATTATTCATACACAAACCCTATTCTTTTAGCACCAAATGCACATGCCATTTCCCAGACCAGTGCACCACCTGTCAGCATATCAGTCACTGAGTTTTTTTCAAATAGGTATAGTTACACGTGAATGTGGAAGGGAAATATCCCACCATATGACAAAAGCGGCATTTCATGCATGACTTAATTCTGAACAAAATTATTATTGCAAATTATTGATACAAATATTCGTCACTGGGCATACCATGGGCTTATCTGACAAACCCATGGTTGTAAAATCATCCAAGATGCGGTGTGAATCATGAACCATCTTGTTCTTGAGGAGAAAGTTTATCCTTGGGGTTAGTGTGGCTTTGAGCCTCCTGGAATGAAAGGACAGCAGGGCCTGTGAATTTTGTAAGTGTTCCCCTCCTGGTACCAAAATATTGTTAATACGTAATGCAGAATTGCATTGTATTGGCATGTAGTTTAGGTGTTTTGCTCTGCAAGATACAGCATACTCAGCACTGCTGTTTAATTTTATTATAGCTTTTATGTAGTGTGGGTTTATGTTATGTACCTTTTTTTTTTTTCAGTGAATCTGGTGGTGGTTTTGGGAATTACATTTATATATTCAGGAATTACTGCTGGTCAGTAAATGTAATTTAAGTACGAGAGGTCCCCGTTTGTACGGCTGTTAGGTTTCCGACCCTGTGCAGTGAGTGAAAATTGCTGGTGGATGGAAAAAGTGTTTTTTTAATTATTGGGTGTGTCTAAAATGCCTGATAATGGGTTTACAAAATTGTATATTAAGTGCTTAATTCTGATAAGCATAAAAAAATAGATAAAAAAGTGAAATACATATGCAGTACATAGCGGAAAGTGGTAAAAGCACTGAACAATAGCTCAACTGAAAACCAATGAAAATATGGAACACCGAAGAGGGTGCTGAATACGCGGGGTCTTCCTGTATTTTAATTTTAATGTAATATTTCTGGTCAGTATCTCATCTGAGTGGCTTTGTGCACATATGCCTGTGGATCAAAGCATGTACATTTTCAGAGAGTGAATAGTCATGTTTTCTGGTCATTATTTTTGTAAAATTCATTACTTCATGCAGCATAGTCATAGGATATGCTATTTTGATTTACTTTTGTGGGTTTACAGCCCAGGGATGGTGGTTATATTTACATGCCACCATAATCCTTGTAGATCAGTGCCCTCATTGGTTATCAACCCTCATAAAAATATCCTTAATTTTAATGATTCAGAAACATGTGTTGCTTATCTGCTTTCCCCAGTGAGTTCTATGCACTGCCACTTAAGTGATTCCCTTCATCTTGCCCTTTATCTTCCCTTCACTCTGCCTTTCGTGTGTATGACATATCACTACTAGCACAGCTGTGAGCTCTGCAAAATATCTAAAATTTTCTCTTACAAACTGTCTCTTTAACACCAATTTGCACTTGCTGCATTTTGATATCCTGCAGATAATTTTTAATACCTTCATCTCTGCAGCTTGTACTTGTACATTAACTAGAGCCCTAATATTTTTTCAGTTGTTGTTTTAGCTATTTTACATTTTTCTTAATTCATTCCAGAATTTTATTTTCCTAATTTAATTTATTTTTCACATTACTTTTGAATCCCCTGTACTGAACATGGTTGTGCATGCATTACATCTGTTTCTTCAAATGCTTCTACAGAAGCATTTCATGTGTGTACACAACTTCTGAATGAACTTGTACATATCTGATTGTCCTGGCAACCAAAATGACCACTTGACAGTTTTCTTCTATTGCAGTATTACACTTCCTTCCTTTAGGATTTTGTAATCCCCAACTTTTTAAATGCAGTGTCTCTTTAAAGCGAGTGTTCTGACTTGCAACCCTTTTCCCAAGTCATTTGATACTTGCGTTAGCTAGAATAAAGTTTCCATTTTGGCCAGAACCTAATGAAAAATTATTTTGAAATGTGGTAACGATTTTAGATTACATAGTTTGTGTCAGTCTCCATGGAAAAGTGGAGAAGAATCCTCCCTCCATAAGCCATGCATGTTGCAAGTGACTAAAATCCTGGGAATGAGGGGCTAGTAACCCCTTCTGTATAAATTATTAAATGTAAAATGATAAAAATTTTTTGTTTTTTTCTTTTTCGGGTTACCCTGCCTTGGAGATGGCTGGCGTGTTAAAAAAAAAAAGTGTCAATTCATTTAAACATTTCATTGTTCAGAGGGTCATCTGAATTGTGATGTCTGCACACTTTTAACAGACTTGCAAATGTGTTCCCTTATTTGGGTCACCCTGCCTTGATGGGAGATGGCTGTTTTGGTGAAAACTAAAAATGTCTTCATATCACACATTCTCAGTTTCCCTTACCCAAATATTTGCAGACTGCCTGTGCATCACTTAAGCTGATGAAATGCTAATGTAACATTTGAAAATTTGTAAATATTAGATTATTATTTCTCACACAGGCATTTATCAAGCCTATTATTTTCAGTATTCTTGTGTTAAGCACTCATCACATCATTATGAGGTTAAATGTAAATTGTAATTATTTTTGAAGTGATAACAATTTAAAATTATTAATACCTTTAAAACTTGGTTGATTTTCCCATATATAATTTTTTTTCATTAATTATTTTTCTTTCAAAAATGTTTCATTCTCACATCATGGCTCACACTATTATTGAGGTGCATCTCAGTCCTTCCTTCCCTGACAACATTGTTCACTGTAAGCCTCATGATCCAATTATCTTTTTCTGTGCTATATTCTCAGCAGCTTCCCTTTTCTTATTCAGAAGTCATTTTAGTACTCAATGTTAAAGCAAAATTCAAATGACACAATTTCCCTTTGTTTCCAGATGTCCTATAAGATAGTCCACCACCTGTCATCAGTACACTGTGTAAGTGACTCATTAATAAACATCATCCTAACTCATTCAATATGGATTTTTTTCTTTTAATGTATATCCTTATAAAATTTGTAGCTCTTATGTATAGTGTATAATGGCACTTCTTAATATCACGAGTCTGTTAATCTCGTACCGGGTGTAAACTTTGTTGGAATATTGGGTAGTATCAGTAGTGTTCTAATTTTTTGTTGTGCATCTTCCCTTGTAACCATCCTTTCAGGGAAAATAGAAGAAAATGTCCTTCCCATATTTCGTTTATGTACCGTCACATACTCTAGTCTTAAGTGATTCCACAATGTTCTAACTTTTATACCTACCACCAGTTCACTGTCCTGCACTTATGCATCTTGTATACAAGTGTTTGTCTGATGGGTGGTGTGGTATACATAGTCATCTGATTATTATGCATAACAATGCACACATACACACACCTTTATTAATATACACCAAAGTGGTTGGGCCACTACCTTTATTACCCCCTCTCCTCAACTCTCGCCTACCTTTCCTTCACATTCCATCCTTACCCATCCTTCTTCCTCCCCCAACTCACCAAACCTCTGGTTAAAGAATTGCATTGAATCTAACTTCTTTTTGTTGCTATCACCATGGCTTTGCTGGCAACTTTCTTAAATTTTTCTTTTATTGTGTTATAATAAATCAATTGTGCTCCTCACTTTATTATTAATAGCATTCATCCCTTTGTTATATATATTCAAAATTTTTATTAACTATTATCATTTACTTTAGGAGTTAAAAATATTCTAGTTATCTTGAAATATTTTTGTCTTCCTTATCATCTTTGCAAGAAAGGTATGTATCCAGTTTAACTTTTTTTTTTTTTTTTGGTCTAATTACAGTACTTGGCTAATATTTTATCCATTACACCATTCACGTGATTCATCTGTCATTAATAAATTGATACTTTTGTCATGCTTCTGAATCATTATTGGTTTTCTTTGTTAGCACCACTTTCACTCAGATCTAAATAACCATCCTAGTTTTATTTTCAAAACCTATCTTCTTGATTTCCTTCATTAATTACATGTACAATTTGTAGTATCAATGTCCTTCATTTTTTTTTTTTTTTACTTTCCATTAAAGCAGATGGATGTTATCACCAGTTATTGCAGTAGTTGCAAGTGCTACACTGGTGACCATGGTTTTCAGTACTTTTGGAAAGGAGTTCTATTGTGTAAATGATTCATGATGTCGTTCTTCCCTACCTGTTTTTAGTTTTGCATAGGAAAACTTTTTCACAAAACATACAATATTTTTAGTTGTGTATTAATAGAAAATTGTGGTTCTTTGACCAGCATTTTCATCTTTGAATCAGGTTATTGCAATTTTATTCAATTTATGTTCTTAAAGACCAAAATTATTGTATAATGTTGTTCATTTATTTCGGACTGTGTTTTATTCTAAAGTCAGGTGTTGACATTCTAGGTTGGCACAACAGCATCAACATTATCGTCAAGCCTGGCAGCTTCAACGTCCACAGCACCATGTACACCCTCAGGTTCTCTTGGTGGACGTGGTGGAGCTGACCTTCTTGTTGTTCCCTTGGATGGACGAGGTAGTCGCAGTTCAGAAGTGGGTCTGCATGCTCCTCATGATGTGTCGGCTAATGTTACCATTGACACTACACATGACCACATGAAGTAAGTTTTATTCTCTTTTCGTAAAAAAAGAGAAAATTGTCATCGTAATTTAAGCTTGTTACATTTCACAGTTTAGGGGATACAGGAGTGGAGTAATACCCAGTAAATTATACAGTACAGCCTCTCCTTATATAACAACAGAGTTCCATTCCTGAGACCACGTCGTTAAACGAATTCGTTGCTAAGTGAGGCACACTATAATGGTAGCGAGTGTGTTGACCATCTTTGATATTGTTTTAATGTCACCTTTTCACCATTTATAACATTTCTGGTATATTTTTAAATATTGATACAGTAGTGTAGTAGTGTTTTGGAGTGGTTGGTGCAATTATTTAATAAATGTATGGAAGAAGGTAAGGTACCTAGGGATTGGCAGAGAGCATGCATAGTTCCTTTGTATAAAGGCAAAGGGGACAAAAGAGAGTGCAAAAATTATAGGGGGATAAGTTTGTTGAGATGTGCATGTTTATAGAGGGGCAACTGATATATCGGATCATTATTTAGTTGTAGCTACAGTTAGGGTAAGAGGTAGATGGGAAAAGAGGAAGGTGGCAACAACAAGTAAGAGGGAGGTGAAAGTGTATAAACTAAGGGAGGAGGAAGTTCGGGGGAGATATAAGCGACTGTTGGCAGAAAGGTGGGCTAGTGCAAAGATGAGTAGTGGGGGGGGGGGGTTGAAGAGGGTTGGAATAGTTTTAAAATGCAGTATTAGAATGTGAGGCAGAAGTTTGTGGTTATAGGAGGGTGGGGGCAGGTGGAAAGAGGAGTGATTGGTAGAATGATGAAGTAAAGGGTGTGATAAAAGAGAAAAAGTTAGCTTATGAGAGGTTTTTACAAAGCAGAAGTGTTATAAGAAAAGCAGAGTATATGGACAGTAAAAGAAAGGTGAAGAGAGTGGTGAGAGAGTGCAAAGTAGAGCAGTATGAAAGATTGGGAGAGGCACTGTCAAGAAATTTTAATGAAAATAAGAAAAAATTTGGAGTGAGTTAAACAAGTTAAGAAAGCCTAGGGAAAGTATGGATTATCCGTTAAAAACAGAGTAGGGAGTTAGTAGTGGGGAGAGGGAGGTATTATGTAGATGTGGCTATAATATTTTTGAGAACTTTTAAAAAAGTTGAGGAAGAAGGGAGTGGTAATTTCATGCACAGGTCAGGAGGTATACCATCTTTTAGGATAGGAAGAAGAGCAGAATGCAGTGTGGGGGAGGTACGTGAGGCATTACGTAGAAAGAAGGTGTAAAGCAGCTGGAACAGATGGATCAATGACAGAAAGTTAAAAGCAGGGGTGGAAATAGTGTTGGAGTGGTTGGAACTTTTAGTTTAATAAATGTATGAAAGGAGGGGAAGTTACCTAGGGATTGGCGGAGAGCATGTTCATGAGCGAGTGAATCCATACCCCTTTATATAAAGGGAAAGGGGCCCCACAAAATAGATGGTAAAAATATAGAGGAATAAGTATATCGAGTATACCGGAAAAGTGTAAGTTAGGGTTATAAAATGAAAGAATTAGAGTAAGACAAAATAGGATTGCGGATGAGCAAGGAGGTTTCAGAGTGGGTAGGGATGTGTAGATCAAGTGTTTAATCATTTGAAAACATCACTGTGAACAGTATTAGATAAAGGAAGGGAAGTTTTTATTGCATTTAGGAATTAGAAAAGGCATATGATATAGTGGATAGAGGAGCAATGTGGCGATGTTGCAAGTATATTGGGAATAGGTGTAAGATTACAAAAACTGTTTTAAGAGCTTATATGAGATAGAGAGGCTCAGTTGGGTGTGTAGAAGAGAGGGAAGACTACTTCCCGGCAAAAAGTAGTTTCTTAGACAGGGAATGTGTAATTCAACCATGGTAGTTTTAATATATTTATGGTATTGGAGATGGGGTTTGTAAAAAGTAAATGCTAGGTGTTCGGGAAGAGGGGTGGTATTAAATTATGGGGAATCCAATTCAGAATGGGAATTAACACAGTTTTACTATTTGCTGATGAGACTGTGCTTATGGTGACATTCTAAAGAAAAAGTTCAAAGGTTAGTGGATGAGTTTGGGAAAGTGTGAAAAGGTAGAAAGTTGAAAGTGGAACATAGAAAATAGTAAAGGTGATAGGGTATCAAATGATATAGATAACGAAAAACTGGATACAAATTGGGGTAGGAGAGTATGGAAGATACGTGGACCCCCGCAAAACGATCAGCTCCCAACTCGAAAAGCCCCCAAAGGCTTTATGTATTTTATTTGTAAGTGCATTTGTAGTGTATTTTTTTGGGGGTCTGAAATGGAACTAATCTAATTCACAATATCTCTTATGGGAACAAATTCGGTATAAATGGCACCCTAAACGACTTTCTTGATTGGAAATAATATCGTTATCCCCGGGGGTCCACTGTAACTATTGAGTTGACGTGTCGGCGATTGATTTATAAGGATGAGGTTAATCATAGATTATGAGGGAAAAAAGGTGATGGTGCATTGAGTATATGTGGATGTCAAAAATTTTACCTATGGAGGCAAAGAAGGGAATTTATGAAAGATACAGGTTGGGGGGGGAAAAAAGACACCCCCGTTACCGATATCTTTTCACTCCAGCAGTATGTTCAGGTGCCAGTACTGACCGAATTTGTTCCCATAAGGAATATTAGTGAAGTTAGATTAGTCCATTTCAGACCCCCAAACATACACGTACAAATCGCACTTACATAAATACAACTTACATAATTGGTCGCATTCAGAGTGATCGTTATGCGGGGGTCCACTGTATAGTAGTACCACCCACTCTTAAAGATGTGAAGCTTGTGTGGTAAATGCAGCAGCGAGAACGGTAGGAGGCAGTGGAGATGTCCTTGTCTAAGGGCAATGTGTGGTGTATAAATAATATGCAAAGAAATTCGGATTTTGAAATTAGAAAAAATGTGTGGAGTAATAAAAGTATTAGACAGAGGCAGAAGAGGGGTTGTTGAGGTGGTTTGTCATTTAGAAGAATGGATCAAAGTAGAATGACATAGAAAGCTGAAAGCTATAGGGAAGGAAGGCATTAGGTGTCGTCCTTCGAAAAGGGTTGGAGAGAGGGGGTTACAGTGAGGTTTTGTGGGCACGGGGTTTTGGACTTCCAGCAAGTCATGCGTGACCGCGTTTAGATAGGAGAGAATGGAAGAACTAATGGTACTGGACCTGACGATCTGTTGAGTGTGAGCAGGGTATATTATAGTTGGGGGATACAGTGGAAACCGTTTATTTTACAATGTCGGACTTGAGTCCTGGAAATGGAAGTACAATGCCTGCACTTTAAATGAGGGGTTTGGGGATAATGGCAGTTTGAGGGATATGTTGTGTATCTTTTAATACGTATATCTTCTAAAACTGTATGTATTCTGATCACCTCTGCAAAAACAGTGATTATGTGTGAGTGTGGTGAAATAGTTGAATTTATGAAGAAAGCCAATACTTTTTTGGGGATTTTCTTTGTTTTTTGGGTCACCCTGCATTGGTAGGGAAATGGCCGAACCTGTGTAGATAAAAAAAAAAACATAGTTTATTGAGGTAGTTATGTTAGTGACAGCAACCGCCGCCATGGAGTACAACATACCATCCTGCCAAGTGCTGTAAAACGAAAGCCTGTAATTGTTTTGACATGAATGGTAGGATTGCTAGTGTCCCTTTTTTTCTGTCTCAATAAACAGCAATAGTCAGGTATGTCTGCTACTTCTACTTACCTTAGGTCCACACGTACACAATCATGTACAAGCATATATATGTCTCTATACACATCCCTCTGGATTTTCGTTCTATTTTCTTTCTAGTTCTTGTTGTTGTTTATTTCCTCTTATCTCCATGGGGAATTGGAACAAATTCTTCCCTTCCGTAAGCCATGCGTGTTGTAAGAGGCAAACTAAAAAGCCAGGGCAAGGCAGTAACCCCTTCTTCCCGTAAAAATACTAAATATAAAAAGAAAACTTTCGTTTGTTCTTTTTGGGCCACCCTGCCTTGGTGGGATACATAACGGCCGGTTTTTGCTGAAAAAATATAAATATATATATAAAAATATAAATAAATAAATATATAAATATATATATATATATATATAAAATATAAATATATAAATCAATATATATACATACATATAAATCTCAATACTATATATATATATACATATAAATATATAAATATATATATATAAGAACAATAAAATATATATATATAAATAACCCAATAAAAAATATATAACAACACACAATAAATATAAAATAAAAAAATACAACATCTATATATAAATATATACCTATAAAAAATAGTAAAAATACAAAAAATATATATCTACATATATAAAACTATATAATATATAAAAAAATAAATAAATAGCACTCACACACCAGAATATCTATCACACTCACAGTACACAAAAAACACAACACACCACACAAAAGACAAAACACAAAAGACAAACACAGCCACACACACCACACACAGCACACACACAAACAACACAAACACACTCACTGACACACACGTCACACACACTCACACACAAAACACACACAACCAGACGATACACACACACAAACACACACACACACCACACAATATACACACTACACACTCACATACACACACACACTACACATCACACACACACACACACACAACACACACACACACAGACACTACCACTCAACACACACACACATCACCACACATCACACACACGATAACACACAACACACACACACACACACACACACACGACACACAACACACACACACACACCCCACACACACAACACAAAACAACAACTACACCCCCACCATGGCCCTGTCAACCCCCCCCCCGTCCTTTATTGCCCGCACCAGCACCACTAACCCCCACATACACTACCAACACTGTCAAGCCCTACTGTAGCTTACCCCCACCATTAAAAACCACTGCCAACATAAACACCCCACCAACCGCGAGCATGGCACTGTCCTTCCCCACTCCCGGCTCAGTCCCAGCCGAATCCCCTGATCC